ACTTAACATACCTTAACTCCGTTGAGTCCTTAATACCTTCCAAGAAATTCTTCAAACAACTCACAATCTACCACATCAAGGAGATTCAAAATCAGTGTTGAGTAAAGGCTGAGTCCGCAACTTAAACTAGTAGCTCGTTTACGTAAATTTGGGAAGCATCTCTCCTGTAACTAAGCCCTCCTCCAATACCATATACCAACAACAACAAGAACACAATAATAACAACATGTAAGCATCATTTTCCAACCTTATATCCATCACAATATACCACAAAACAGCCCACACACCCTACTCACTTCATACATAAAACGACAATTAAAGTAGTGTCAAACAACTTTAAAAATGTAACGACAAACGACCAGTCCACCATTCCGTCATTATGTGGTATTTCTCCACATCATTTGTCCTCCAAAATTCCATTAAACAATAGAAAATATACAGCCCAAAGGCAACGCGAAACAGATCACAAAACAGTCTACTACAAGTCAAATAACTCGAACTCACGGCTTCCGATCACCGTCCTGTGAGTTCTAACTATTAGGAAACGAATTTATCAATATTCCTTGATATTTAAACACTTAAATACAAAAATTACACATTTTCTTAACTATGAAGTACCTTCCAAAACTCAAACTATAAAGGAAAAGAGAGACGATATAGCGATACTTACGTCGTAGGGATCGTTTTAATGTTAATGCTTCTTGATTTCGTGCTCGGGATGATAATCTTATTTGAAGCTCTTGCAGAGAGATTAAGAGTAAAGTTAGGGGTGTTATTTGGGTGTGTTCTTTGGAAAAATGGAGAAAGAAACGAGATGGGATGTAAATATCCCATTTTGTTTTAAAAAGTCAAAAGAGTGCTACTTGGCACCCTCTGATTGGCCCTTCTTCTAATGCTTATAACTTTTTATTCGGGTGTTGTATGAACGAACGATTAAGAGCGTTGGAAACTACATTCCAAGACCTTCAATTTGGTATATAATATGTCCCATAAAGACCTCGTATAACATATTAAATTTATTTCTCAAAAAGCTCTGTTACAAGACAAATCCTTAGTCGGTTTTTCCGCAACTTAAATTTGATTTGTCCCAAACTTTATATTTTCTATCCAAACATCATATATAGTCATATTATGACTTTAAAATTATTTAAATAATGATTAACAAGTCTCATATTCATTACGTCATCTTGGGACGCACAGGGTGTAACAACCATATTGCATAGTCTTTATGTATATATCATATTTCTGTTGTTCCTATACTTATACTTGTTCAGTTTATTAGACCAGTAGGTGTCTTGACTGTTCCTCATCACTACTCCATCGAGGTTAGTCTTGATACTTATTGGTCACCGTTGTGGTGTGCTCATACTACACTTCTGCACATTTTTGTGCAGATCCGGGTATTTGTTCGTTAGTAGCTGTGCGGGTCACCTTCAAGTTTTTGTTTTGTACTGTTTATTCTTATTTCTAGGCAGTTATATTTAGAAGTTTTCTAGAAAACACTCTGTAGAGCTTTATGACTTGTACTATCAGTTTTGAAAAATTATAAATTTTATAGAGGATTCCTGTTTCTAAAGTTGTCCGATGTTATTTATTATTGTATTCGATAAATGTTAGAGTTATCTAGTCCCTAAGATTAGGTGCCATCACGATACCCAACGAAGGGTAAATTGGGTCATGACAATTTCAACTATTGATCCTCTGCTAGGTGGTATGGATCAGATTCTGGATCCAATCAAGAAAAAAGGAAAGGAAAAGGGATATGGGATATTAAAGCCAATTAATGAGCAAAGAAGGAGAATGGACATCTCAAAAGTTATCAAAAGCTAAAGCAGGACTACCACATGCGTCCACGAGATTATATTTTGAGGTCTAATCTCTATGCATGTCAAGGTTACATATTTTTTGTTAATGGTTTTTGCACCTTTCTTTCATATAATAATTTTAATATGTATTTTCCTTCCAATTTCAAATATGAAGCTATATGGAGATTCAAATAGTATTATCACCCAATTGTTGACTCAAGAGTCAGGCTTGCAGACAGCATGTTGCAGCCAAAATCAAGCTCAAACAACAACCAATGCTGGCATCAACTAAAACATAATAGGATTCTATTTTGTGTGAATATATTTGAATATGCTTTTGTACTCTTCCTAGGGGTGTTCTCAAACAATTTACTGCAGAATATTACACTATATGACAAGTGAATTTTGTATTTTGGTACTACTAATTTCAAGCGTAGAAAATGCTTCAACATCTAGAATCTGTATTTGTGAGACATCTTAAATATAATTTATTTTTGTGAGCAATATACAAAGAAGCCATAAGAGATTGAGAAAGAATTTACCTTAAATCCATGGATAAACGTAAGTAGCAGAAGATCTTTAGAATTGAACTAAAATTTGACCGAACAGGATTAGAACTGTACAAGCTAGAACTTTGCATTGAAGTTAATCACAATCTATAAATGATTTCAGATTTACTAGTTGCATTCAAAGCAATCGCATATCTAAGTTTAGCTAAGTAAAAAAATATGAACTATGAAAGTGTTACATTGTAGAGATGAATACGGCAAGAATTGGTTTAAGTAGAAAAAATTACATTGAATAATACCTTAATACACTAGAATAAATGGTGTTTGGAGAAGTTTTTTTTGCTACGGATAGTGTTTTTGGTGGTAAAAACGAGAAGGAGAAGCTCTTCAATTCATCTCATATGGGACCTAAAGTCCACTTTCTCTTTTTTCTATTTTATTTAAGTGGACCCGCAATGACCTCATACAACTAATACAACTATTGTTGTGTGAGTCTCCCAAAATAAAATTTCTCCTCCTTTACTGGTTGGGTGACTGCCAATGTTACAACAAAAATCCCATGGACTTCCTTTCCACCGCCTCCACACTTATATCACCGTCAATATTTTGCTGAACGGGGCAGATCAATAAATATGAAGGACTAAAGCAAAAATTCAATAAGAGATCCTTTCTTTATATAAAAGAAAAAATTCATATATAATTTCATTTAAATTCTGTATTTCTAGTTTTTTATATGCAAAGTTATTAATAATTTTATCTAATTCATTTAATTTCTCTTGAGATATACACGTTCTGGGACTATATTAAAGTTTTAACCTTTTTTGAGTTGTGAATTAATAGTCGAATCCTTTCTGAATTTATGGTCTAGAGAGTGATTCCCAAAAAGATATTTTTTCTCAATTTATGACCAACAATTTAATCATACTTCTTTACTATGAAAATTTATACTTTCTCATTTTAAACAGTGAATATTTTTTTAAAAATAAATTAATATATCACCTATTAAAAAAATTTGGGGCCCAAAAAATTATGAGGTCCAAAGCATGCTTTAGCAGCCTTACCCTTGGCCGGCACCGGCCTACACCGCCGAGCCCCACTTTTTTACCTGTAGTTTTGGAGATCCATCAAAATCCGTACATGATTTAGTGATAGAGTTACAAGAAAGTAACTCCCGTATGCTCTCTCATTTTAGCCACGTGGGGTCAGTCCTGCAAGACATGCAATTGGACTCAACAACTTTGGCAGAGAAAACAACAGAGGAGGCCACTGTGGATGATGAACCGGACAATATAATGTTGTGTTAGTTGGTGTCAATGAGAGTGACTTTGATTTAGTCTACAAAACCTCAAAAGCTCTTGATCCACAATCTCTTGTTATTAATGGTGGGGATACATTTCCAGAACTAGAGGGTTTCAAAGTTCTACCTATTGCTACTGTTATCACATACTCTAAGGCAGATGCGAAGCCGGGTATTTAAGTGTGTGAGTTCTAAATTTTAAAATAACACATTACTTTCAGGGAAATCAAACCCTCATTTTTTTTCAGCGAACCCACAACCCTTATCATTGAACCGAGACCCATTTTGTTACTAGGTTCGACAGTATATATTTATATAGATTTAGTAAATATTTCAATACAAATACAGGGTTCCGGAAAAAGCGGTTCGCCCGAACCCGCACCCACTACGGTAGCTCCGCCCCTGCTCTAAGGTAGAATTTATTCAGGCTGCCGTACTTGGTTTCAAGAACCTAATTTGGGTATTGTTTCCTTCAACGGTCCGATTGAATTTTACATTTTGAGAGACCTAGAGTTGCTTACAACCTGTTCGATCAAATGCCCAAATCTAATAGACTGTATAGGTATTGGATGATGCATAAAGTTGTGACTGCGCAACATGCGTTACTTCATTTTCCGTTTGATCCTGGTTCAGCAAATGGACTTATATCCGAAGGTGTAGCACTGGTGTTTGATAATAGTCTTCTATGGAATTTGCTATAGTATGTTTGGTGAGATGTTGGCAATTGGGATGGGAGATCGAGCAGGGTTTTTTGCAGACCAAGTGTTTGATGGAAAGTTTCAAAAAAACAGCCATGAGTGCATTTTCCTGTTTGCAAACAAGGAGTTGATTTTAATTTCTCTTAGTTACCACGATTGTCGAATACCTACTGAGACAGATGGATTGAGTAGAAATGCAGCTTTCCTTCAAAGCATCTTAAACCTTCAATATGGACATCAATTTTCCATGTACCACTGTCGTTGTCTTGATACTGGGCAAACACCATCTCTAGTGACACTGTCCGGAGCTGTTCAAAGTTGGCTCAAATATCTTGATAATGAACCAACAACTGCAGGGTCTTTTTTGCTGCACTTGCATCAGTTGTAGAAGCTGCACAGTCAAACCTTATGGACCAAATGCTTGACGAAATGCCTCCTTACTGCTCTAAGTTGTTCGATCCTGGGCCATCAGCTGCAACTGTCATTCTCGCGGCAACGGTACTTTATTTGACAAATGGACATTCAGAAGATGACCATTTATTTATTGAATGTCCTCAACTTGTTGAATCTAGAATTCTAGGTTCGGCGATTGCATTTCAAGTGAATTTCACAAAGCAATTAGTTTGTGATGGTGATTGGAGAGGCAACATTCAGGTTGCCAGATTTACTCAACTTCAGGTGAAGTTATCTCCCTTTGATTTTAGTAAGATTTTTGCGAGTATTAAGCTTATTATACCCCATTTATTAGATATTATCGCACTACGAATTCATGCCTGTAACTGGATAAATACCAGCCAGAGATTAAAGATTGCCTTTATCCATGTGTCCACCCGCCTTGGTCCCTCATTACGCCCAGTCATACTTCACGCCTTTGACAGAGGTAGAGATATTTCGGTTTTGAGATCTCACTTCAAGAACTCTCATCTTTTGGTCTTTTGATGCTGACATTAGTTGTACATAAATGGTTTGAGAAAAGTGCTAAAAGAGCATTTACATATTTGTGTGTCAGTATTTGAGTTACGGATTATTTGGTTTAGATTGCTCCATTACTAAATCCTTGTGCTGTAGCCAAATTTTATTCCTATTTCCAACTGAAGTACGCGTATATCTCCTTTCAATTTGATGACTATTTGCGGTTCCCTGAAGATGGTATGACAAAGTAGGAATTAATTGATTCATGGTTGAGAGACGTCTCTGCTAGCTTACTTTTTGCTAATATTCTAGAAAGTGAGCATCTCATTAGTGCAGCTACTAAGCTTCATGCCTCCTTAGCCATTGCTAACACTATTTTTTATGCTCATGTTGGTGTCATTGCTGGTTTGCATATCACAAGTATTATCACTAAGCTTACAGATGCTGCAAGTTCATATAATCTGTCCAATGATGTTAGTAACATAGATTTTAATAACAGGGTGTCTAATCACTTTGAGCTGGACCTTAAGAGCGAACTGAGGAAGGTCTTTATCAGTAAACCTATTGTCTTAAGGAGAACACGAACAACTTGTGAGGGGGCAAGTAGTGTGGCATCAATTGCAAAATGTTTCGAGGGTGCATTGGAGCCGTATAATTTGATGAAACTCGATGGGTATCAACCATTTGACACATCACTTGTTAGCGTGATCAGTTCGTGTTCGACGCTTGCTCCATTTAGACAGGGCACCAGTTTATGATATAAGCACGGGAGCAATATATGTGGTTGCAATTGTTAGTCCATTGTTTATCATGTATTCAACCTCTGGATGTTTTGCTATAGCTGCAAGGAAATTTGAAGACACGGGAGAAGCTGATATTGTTTTGTGTACATTGGACTGCATCCGAGATATTGTTTTCGATGCTACCATGTTCGAGATTGTACCTAGGTTCCATCTAGTTGAATCCTATCTCGGGGGAAAACAGTTTGCCGCTAATGTAATGATGTTCACAGTTGGTGTGCAAATTGTTAACAAGCCAATTGTTGTCGGTGGTGGCAGTGGCTCAAGAAAAAGCCTTGTTGGCTCACTGAGAGAAAGACTTTGTGCTCTAACTAGGTAGCAGGTTTTTATGTGTATTTTGAACATCAGGAAATTACAATTTAGTTGGTTAAGGATCCGTATTAGCCTTGTGACTCAAAATCCAGCATTCATTCGTACTATTTTACTTGAGAACAACTTGTATGGAATGCTTGCAGCTATGGTTGAATTTGAAGCTTCTATTTCTATTGTCATTGTGTAAGCTCATGTACATGGTTGCATATTCTTCTTTGCCCATACAGAACACTTTGGTTTGGCGATAATGGGTGGGGAGACTACAACCCACGTTGTTCTTGACTTGAGCAACAACTTGAGCCTTGAGGACAAGGTTCTTATTGGGGGCGGGAGTATTGTAACAAATATGGCTACGGTGGAAGACACATTTGGAGAGTTGGCAAATTAATTACCTTTGGTACCCCAGAAAGATGCCTATATATAGAAGAGAAACATAATCTATTACGGCGCATGTTATGAAGTCGTCTCTTTATTTTCTTAGTTGGTTAGATTAGCTCTGGAACCTCCATCCCTTCTTCATTTTCTGTTTCTTCTTCCCTAGGAAGATTTGGTTACTAATTTGGAGTAATTGTAATAGTTTGAAGATAAGCTCTTATATTAATGTACACGATTTCAATTCTCCCTATCAATACATGTCCCCTTCATTACATTATTAGATGTGATAATGTAAGCCACGTCTCCTTTTACTAGAGTGACAATAAGTTTGATGAAAAATACATAATGTTTCTCGAGTTTCTAAAGCGACACTTATTATGGATAAAAATATTAATAAATGACAAATCATTTTAGACCGGAGGAGTATATTTCATTTTGAAGTGAAAAGTGAAAACCAAAATAAACGAATTTTTTATTTTACACATTGGAAAAATCCATCTTGTTATTAGTAGACCATCACTACTAGAAATCGATTTTGGTCGATTTTTCAAAATATGTTTTTACGAAATCGATCAACTTTGGTCGGTTTTCTTTGGCGCAAAAATGTGGGAAACCATTTTTGCGTACTGCGAATTTTTTTTCAAGAAACCGACCAACTTTGGTCGATTTTTCATTTAAAAAAACTAAAATTAATATTAAAAAAACCTACCTAAATCGGTCGGTTAATTCGGCCGTTCATTTTAAAAACTGACCAAATTCGGTCGGTAATTTTATTTTTTAATAAAATCGACTGACAACAGTATGTTATTTTCGTGTAAAAATGTAATTAAAGAGTATAAATGAAATAAAAGACAGTCTTAAAACAAAATGCACCAATAGTCTAGTGGTAGAATAATATCCTGCCACAATACCGACCCCGGTTCGATTCCCAGATGGTGCATTTTTTAATTACATAATGAAAAAAGCGACCACCTTCGGTCATTTTTTCGGCAATATTTTCTTTTTTGAAATTTAATTGACCAATCGAAATCGGTCGGAAAAGAGGTCGGTCGGTTAGCTCTACCGACCTTACGATTACCGACTGCCACGAGTCGGTCAGTTTTCGGTCAATTTTTACCAATTATTGATCAACATCGGTTGGTTTTGGCGGTCGATTTTCCACTTCTTTTTTTTGTTGTTGTAGTGTATGCAAAAAGGAAAAGACAGAAAAGAAAAACATATGCGGTCCCATTTTGTCGATATAGTCTGAAGCAATGAATATGATAAAAGCAGGAGTGAAACACGAAGAAGTAAGACCACTCGCAAAGAAAATGCATAAATCGAAACATGCTTTAACGGAGGGAGGTATCGAGACCAAAAAGTATGTATAGCGAGAATGGCATAATATCCATAAGATGGATAAGTCAACATCGTCAGTGGGATGAGAATTGGAGGTTCACGAGTTAGAAGATAGAAGCGGAAGACTGGCTGCTATACATGTATCTCCCAAAACACCACTACTATATATACACAAAAACAAAGCTAGTATTGTGAAATAAAAGTAATTTAGTAAAACATGAACAAGAAATAGAGATAGGGAGAAGGAAGAGATTTTCTTCTTCAATTGTGTGTATTTTTCTATCTATTACAAAGCATTTATATAAGCATGAAAAGTGAAGAAAAATATATCATTGAATATGTCATTAAGCATTTGAGATGAAGATCATGGAGAAAGATAATGGAGGAAGAGTAGACATCCACCATAATTTGATTTTTCTTATAACACCCCCCCTGGATGTCCATAGATAACGTGCCTCGTTAAAACCTTAATAGGAAAAACCCTCTACACAAATCCTAGTGAAGGAAAAAGTGTACACATGTTTATAAATATGCCTTTTGGTTCCCTCGTTAAAAACCTTCAAGGAAAACTCAGTGGGACAAATCATTGTAAGGGAAAAAGAGTACAACACGCATTAACTCCACCTAATGAGAGCATAAATTTACATTCTTAAGCCTTCGCATCCCAATCTTGTACACTAGTTTCTTGAAGGTTGACGTCAGTAGAGATTTGGTGAACAAATCAGCCATATTGTCATTTGAACGAATCTGTTGCACATTGATATCACCATTCTTTTGAAGATTATGTGTAAAACATAACTTTGGTAAAATGTGTTGTTACGACCCAATTCCATTATATGTCGTGATGGTGCCCAACGCCGTCGTTAGGCAAGCCAACACTGATCAAACTAGTGATCTCCCGTTTAGGTAAATTACTAAGTGGATAAAAATTCTACATTTGTTGAAAAGATTTATAAATTTACCAAGGTGACAAAATTAAACAGAAGCAACGAGTACACACCGTAATCATGTAAATAATACCAAAATCATAAGTCTACTAGTGTGTGTGCTGAGACCCGGCGTCACAAGTATGTGGGCAATCTAGTAGAATATACAAAAGAGTACTAGCCTACTGTCTTAAAGGAAATAGACAGAAAAATAAAGCATAAGAGAGACTCCAGCTCCTGCAGAACGGCTCGGAAGGCAGCTCACCGTGAAGTCTCGAGATGGGGATCAAATATGCGCACCAGACTGGTAACCAGATGCACCTGCCTCAGATCCTGTATATTTAAATACAGAAGTGTAGCGTGAGTACATAAATAATTTGTACCCAGTAAGTATCTAGTCTAACCTCGAAGAAGTAATGACGAGGGGTCGACTCCGACACTTACTAGGGCCAATAACATGATAATATGAAATTCTAATTAAGCATGATATACAACAATAAGACTCAGAACAAGAAATAACCGAACAAGTCTTCACCATATTTAGGAGCTTGAATCACTTCCTTCCTTTAAATCATATGATCACACAAACAATGAATTTATACTAATTATGAAAGGAACTTCCAGTTCTATTATCACATACGAATACCACCGAGGACGTTCGGCCCGATCCAACATAAATATAACCCGTGCACTACCGAGGGTCAAACAACGCGAACCATAGATGCATCTATTACCCCGATAGCGAATCATGCATGCGACGCGGTCAAATATAAATTTATCAATAAATCATAACCCTTTCTTGATTCTTTTCAAAATAAAGACAATTCGACTTGAAACTTTTAAATCCTTAAAAATCCTCAACTCAATTCCATTTGATACAACTAACAAATATAATCAAATAACGGTGTCCACGAGTATGTTGTAAACCTAAAACTACCCGGACATAAACATGAATAGTAGCTACATACAGACTCTCGTCACTTCGTGCGTACGTAGCCCCCACAAATAACAACACATATTAATTAAGTTCACCTATGGAATAAGTTCCCTCTTACAAGATTAGAAAAGAGACTTACCTCGTCTCAAAGCTTAATTTCTAAATTCAAGAATGCGCTTAAACCTCCAAATTTGATGCCAAACGACTCGGAACCTCAATAGCTAGGTTGAAATCTCCCATTTCGAAGCTCTAAAATCGCCCAAATGTGTAAAGAATGGGAGAAAAATGCCTAAGTCCCGTATTAAATGAAGTGCATTGCTCCTGCGATTTTCGCACCTACGGTGCATTGGACGCATCTGCGGTCTCGCACCTTCGACAAGACCTTTGCAGGTGCGCCTTTTCCTCGCCTGGCCGGGCTCCGTATCTGCGGACACAAGGAGCCGCATCTGCGAGCCCTTTCCGCTCCTGCGACAACAATGCCCGCACATGCGTTCACACAGGTGTGTTAATTCCTCTGCACCTGCGGTGCCTGTGCTTCCTTCGCATTTCCGCTTCTGCGGCTCAGTTCTCGCACCTGTGAGCTCGTACCTACGGCTGGACAAACGCAGGTGCGGTTATGACAGAACTGGAGCTTCAGCAGCTGCTCCCAACTTCTAACTTAGTCCGAGCCTCGTCCGATTGATCCTCGGGGCCCCCGGTGCTCCGCTCGAACATACCAACAAGTTTAGATTCATAAAACGGACTCGCTCGAACTCTCGGAATGCCCAAAACAACATTAAAACTAAGAATCGCACCCCAAAACCAATTGAATCAAACTTAAGAACTTCAAGTTCTTCAATTTACTACCAATGCGCCGAAACGTACTTAAACTACTCTGAATGATACCAAATTTTACGTGCAAGTCTTAAATGACATTTCGACACTATTCCCGATCTTGGAATTCTGTTTGGATCTCGATATCACCAAAACCCGCTCCAAACCAAATTGAAAGAACTTTTAAAACCTTCAAGAACTAACTTTCACTATTATGCGCCAAAATGCTCCCGGATTATCCAAAACCCGATCCGAACATACGCCTAAGTCCTAAATCATCATACGAACCTATTGGAACTGCCAAATTCCGACTCAAAATGTTGACCGAAGTCAAACTTGGTATTTTAAGCCAACCTTAAGGAACTAAGTGTTCCGATTTCAAACCGAACCCTTCCAAATCCCGAACTAACCATCCCAGCAAGTAATAAAACAGTAAAAGCATGTACATGAAGTCTTATTTAGGGGAACGAGGTTCTAGAAAGCAAAACGACCGGTCGGATCGTTACATGTGCTTTGTCCTATCTCCTTTTATGAATCCTCCCTTCAATTGGGCTATGCATGCTGCATTGTCTTCATACACAATTATGGGTAGTTTGTCACACTTCAAACCACATTTGTCTCTAATAATATATATTATAGACCTCAACCATACACATTCTCGACTTGCTTCATGAATAACAATTATCTCAGCATGATTAGATGAAGTAGCCACGATTAATTGCTTAGTCGATCGCCAAGATATAGCAGTGCCTCCACATGTAAACACATAGCCTGTTTGAGATTGAAGCTTGTGTGGGT